CCATCCTCTTTCTCTCCGCTACTGGCTCCCCCCGGAGGCTTGTGAGCACGAGGGAGAGGAGGGGGGGGGGATGCTGCTCTGGACCACAACGGCAGGGCAGGGAAGGCACTGTGATGGAGTGATGACCTGGCGCCCGGCCTGGGGATCAGCGGGCGCGTAATTACTGCGAGTGAGTAAGAGAGCAAGCGAGCGAGAGAGAGAGCAAGAGAGGGCGGGCGAGAGAGAGAGCGAGAGAGAGAGTGAGAGAGAGAGAGAGAGAGAGACGGGGCGAGAGACACTTGCCTCTCTCACCTCACTGTCGACTCGGAGCGGGTGGTTTCAGATTCCCCGGCACCCTCATCGTGCGGCGTGTATTTGTCTGCCCCCCCCCCCTCCCCCTGCTCGCTTCACTTGATTACTCTCACGTTTCTGACGTTTCTCGCGGCGCGTTGTTCGCCCCTGGGCCATGTCTCGTGTTGTACCGAGCGCGCCCCGCCACCACGCCTCGCCGTGTTTTTGTCGCGTGTTTTGCCCGCGAGGGGCCAGCGCAGCAGCAGCAGCAGCAGCAGCTGTGGAGGTGAGGTGGCGCAGCTGCGGGGGCGGCGGGCAGCTGGCACAAGGGCGTCGCACTGCCACCTGGAGGATCGACCAGCCCCAGCGAGCGCACCGGCAAGGCGGCAGGGGAGGCGAGGGGGGCGAGGGGGGTGCAGTCACCGCGCGCGCCGCAGGAAGAATACGGAAAGAAAACAACCAAAACGTCTCTCCCTTCACTGACTTACTTATTCCCGGCGGGAGAAGAACCGCGACGGTTTGCCCCTTATCTCCCTCACTCTGCCTGCTACGATCGTAATGCAGATTACAATGTGGCCTGACTCATGGAGAAGACTCGCTGCTACCGACCGGACGTCTGCGAAGCTCCAATCGGGTGCCATTTCACACCACGCACCACGCCTAGCCACGCCTGCCACGCCCTGCCATGCCCCACCACGCTGCTCGCTGCTGGCCCGCTTGTGTATCTGCGAGGAGCTGATTGGTTTCAACACAACAATCTCTCGGTGGTGGTGTAGGATGGAGGAGGTGTGGCGTGTTGGTGGTAGGGTGAAGCCAAGGGAAGGGTGAAGCGGGGTGGAGCAGGTGGAGCTGGGCGTCGTGGTGGTGAGCCAAAGCCAAGGTTGAGGCGGATCAGGACTGGCGTGGTGGTGCTGATGAGTTGAAGCCGAGGGTGAAGCGGGGCAGGCGTGGTGGTGGTGAGCTGCTGAAGCCGAGGGTGAAGCGGG